ATATATATATATATATATGCCACATCTTCTTGATCCAGTCATCTATTTTTGGGCATTTGGGTTGTTTCCAGTGTTACCTGTTATTTTTCAATACCTTGTTTGATTCTACCACCATCTGACTTTTGCCCATTCGGTTATTAACATGTACACTTCATCTTCCTCCCCTATCTCCATACATAAGCTGCCTGGAACAATGACCTTGGCTGTCTTTTTTACTATTGTGTCCTAAGCACATGGAAAATAAGTTCCATAGCTGGTTTTTGAATAAATTATGTGAAAAGGAAATTGACAGATGTGAGAACATGACTGGCCATAACCATAACATGACTGACTATAACCGATCACACTGGAAAATCTACATGAAAAGACCCACCCATATTTTAGTGTGGTCCACTGGTTAAGAGCACAGAATTGGATGTTCTGGCTGTACTATTTCCTAGCTTGATTATCAGCGTGGGCAAATAACTTAATCTCTCCCTACCTTGTTTTCTCACCTGTAAAATGAGAAAAGAATAATTACTGCATAGGGATGTGGTGAGGATTAAAGAGAAAATACATGCAGAGTGCTGAGAACAGTGTGTATCCCCTATTAAGTGTTCAACAAACACTGTATTATTTCAATCTAGGTCCAATCACTAGTCCAGGGTGAAGCATGGAGCAACATGAAAGAGGGACAGTGTCCTGTTGTGGAGAAACCAATGACTAAATGGAACTGTAGAGCTAGGTAGCCTGAGGTAACTGCTGAGAGAAGTGGTGACTCAAGTGCTTGGGATGGCAGGAGCAGGTTAGTAAATGGTGCAGATCAAGTTTCAAAGTCACGAGGTTACCGACTGCAGATAAACAGTCATGGTCTTGGAGTAGACAATCAGGGATACTAGGCCTGTTTAGGATCTAGGGCGGGTATCTATTTATATGCTCAAAGGAGAGAGAGCACCATACATTTCTGCCCTTGAATAAGTTCTCATCCAGTCTATTTATTTTATTAATCATACAGCTTTCACTAGTTTTGTGCCTACTGTAATTCTGGGATGCTTACTTTAGAGGGAAAATAATCACAATTTCAGTACAAAGGGCAGGTGACCCAGAACTTTAAATACTTTTTTTATTTGAGGTCCCTGACCTCAAACAAAATGGCTATTTCCACAACTGAGAGTCATATCTGGAGATGAGAAGTAGATGGACAAAGGAAGAGTTATTTTATGCATGGATTCTAGGACAAGAATTTATAAGAAATGCCAAGCCAGTGTTTGGCTTTTGATGGCCACTTCCAAGGAAGTTTTGTGAGTTTGACAACTGTCCCTCTTCGTCACTTTTAGATTAGATTATCCTCATAGCAGCTCTTTAGTCTAATGTCCTACACTCTTCCATTTGTCCCTTCTTCAAATAGAGCTGTTCAATTAACTTGTGACCTCATCAATTTTCTCAGATGGTTAGGGATCAATGAATGAAAACAGATTGGTATTAAATTCAATATATATGAAGGTGTCAATGGCACTCAGAAATAATCATGTGCTCTTTCTCAGACCAGGTGCATCTGGACCTGTGTCCTTCAGAGTACCTGCTCTTGAAGAAATCATGATTGCTAACTTGACAAAATGACTTTTTAAGAAGACTAAAAATTTTAGAAGATGAACTTCATCATTTGCTCAAGATACCAGTGGTCAAAACATTATGCTTTCAGGTCTATTCTATATATAATAATAATCCAACTTTCTTTTATAATTGTCAATACAGAGGTCATCAAGCCAATGAATAAAAAAGCATATGGATTTTTGTAGAAATCTTTAGCCAATAATTGTGAAAGATGCCTACTTTTGTTGATGGGAATGTATAAAAATGATGACTTTTACAGAGAGTTTTTTACTTTGGAAGAACTTGAGTATATATGACCCCATTTTACTCTATAACGACCTTATGACATACATAGAATCTAGTTTCGGATTTCATCTTGTAAGTAAACAACATACAGAGAGGCTAAGTGATTTCTCAAAGCCACACAGACAATTAATGACAGGGCCAGATGATGGATATTTCTTTCTTTTTCCAACTTTTCAGACAATAGTCTCTAGATTATGTAGACAAGTAAAATTTCAAAAAATATTTCACCAGAAGGATCAAAAGAGCATTGCCAGGTTTGTTATTTTTCCAGGGGGAAGAAAAAATAAATATGTAACTTCTACCTATTATTTCTACCATACCATAAAGCTATCCTTTCTTTCATTACCCTGAAATAGGAAAAACATGATGTTAGAAAAAAGTACAGTTTTTTAATAAAACTTCCTTTATGAAAACAGTCATTACTTCCTCTCTTCACCTGCCTCATTTTGCTGTGGATGGGTAAAAAATCCTGTTGTATCCAGAACTAGTTTTCAGACCAAGACTTGCAAACCAATTCCCTCTTCCATGTTGTTTTAAAAATCATACCAGCTCTTGCTCATCTTCCCCCTCCTTGCATTTCAGAGTTAAGAGGAAGAAATCAGTAAGTATTAAAGGTTTTTCCTTTTGAAAAAGAACTATAAGAACAATGGTACTATACGATAATAATGGTACTATAAGAACAAAATGATTAGAATCATAAATTGACATCACAATCAGAACACAGGACTGCTTAATGACTAGATGTGATGAAGATACAGGTGAGCTGGGACTGGAAATGCAGAGGCAACATGTGCTATCACAATTACTTTGTTTTTAATTGGAGAAAAACATAATTTTAATAACATGTCTACCTTCTGGATATAGGGTAGAGACCCAGAGAAACTGAGTAAATGTCACAATAACTTTTTTCCCCACATTAACTTAGTAAGAGGCAATGGCAGGAAAACTGCTTTACATCTACCTTCTCATTTCTCCACTTTTGAACTCATCTGAAAAGATTAATTAGCATGACGATGTCTGTCTGTCTCTACTTTTACAAATCCCACCTTTGTTTCTCCTCATAGACTTGGTTTTATAGTTTGTAAGAAGTTCCCAAGTTTCATATGATAAATAAATGTCTAATTTTATAAAAGTACATCTTCTATCATTGTGTTCTACTAAAAGTACACAGGAACTGAGGTTGGTTTGAGGATATACTCTTAAATTGATATTTTCTACATTTATTGATAGTTTGACATGGATGTTGTATTTTAGCAGATACCAAAAGGATTAATGATCAAAATCTCATTCAATTTTAAACTTTGAACAATGCATGAGCCTCCAGAATCTATTATCTTTTTACATAACTTTCTCATACTTTGGGAGGGAGCTATATCAATAGTGTAGGGAAAGAGAAAAGGCAGTTCAAGCATCCAAATCAAGCCCTGTCATCATTGTCACAGCAAGAATATGTGCAGCCCAGCCCTGTCCCATGTGGAAAGATGCTCACCAGTGGGGTGCTTGTCTAAGAAGGTCCCTGGTGAGGGCCATGTTCAACAGAACAGAGGAAAGCCATATTCCTCAAGGGGTCAAAGCAATACGTTTTAAAAACTCTTTTAATACACACAAATTTCAATCACAATAAAAATCTTTTTCTGAGATAAAAAAATGAATGCCTGTGTATTATCAAATGGCCACACAAAAATAACGTTTATATTTGTATAGCATTTCATGGTGTGTAAAACATTTAAACATGTCATTATTTCTTAGTAATATTCCAAGATGGACAATATGATTTCCATTTTCATGAGGAAGAAATTGAGACTCAGAGAGATTAGTGAATCACTCAGAGTTACACAAACATGAGTTCAAACCCACACCTGGTCCTTGGACCTCAACTTTGGGGTTCTTCCCCTTATTCACATTCATCACAAGGACAGTCATTACTGAAGGTGAGCCCAAGGACAAAAAGAACCAATGAAAACTGACTTACTCTAAACAGGGTGGAGATCTATCAATAACCCCAGAAAGAATGTTGACCACACAAAATTTGAGGTTTATGGTTTTCTTCAGTTTTCTCACCATTACTACAACACCACTACCATCTGTGTTCTTAATCAGTTCTTTAGAACTCATCACATAAGTCAGGGCAGATAAAACACTGGCATTCACAAAAGAAATTATTTGGAATCGTTTTCATTACACCTTCTCTTCCAAATAAACATTTTTATGACAATAAATTTTTGTCAACCACGTATTTTAGTGGTTTGCATACTAGGCAAGAGCCATCCATAACATATCAAATAGGTGATGTACAATCTATCCTTGCAAAACTAAACAAAAGAGATAGCTTGACAATAAAAAACTTATGGCTACTAGGGAGTTACTAATACTCATTTATGTGCAAAATATTTATGTGCAAAAATAGTCATTGCATGAAAGATTTTTTAATGCCAAAACTTGTCTATTTTAAGTAGACTAGTCTTAGAGGTAAAATTAGGGGATGTGTTTTCTGAAATTAGTAAGTGCTATTTCAAACCAAAAGTTGGGATAATAGTAACTAATGCTAGTGAGATTATCAGGAATATTAGCCTTTTTGCTTCATCTGACTTTTATTTTCATGTCTGATTATAGGCTCTGCTCGTGATTTAAAAAAATGAAACAAAACAACAGAATCATCAGGAATGATTTCCAACATAGGGACAAATAAACAAGGTGAACTCAGTCTTGTTACTTCTTTGCCCCAGTTCACATCAATTATACCGATTAAAATGTTAATTTTTACAAATGTGAATAAATGCAGGGGGCAAAAGAACGGAGACCGCTTGTGTGCTAGCAATCATTGCGGGTGGGTAAACTGACAACATGTAACTGCATATTAAGACAAATGTAGAATTTAGACAAAGTATTCCATCTCTTTTCAGATGTATACTTTTAAACCTCAGGAACTGTTTTCAGTAGATGTCATGCCTTTTAACTTGAAAAAAGATAAGCGCAAATAAGCTCCCAATTGTCTCCCCAATATGTAAACCACATCTCGGGCTGCTGTCTCTGCTACTCCTTTGAAGTTTCCCTGAAATGTCATGTGTTGTGAAGACTGCTGTGCATAAGCAAGACAATTTGCTCACTCTCAGAATTCTTACCGGTTTCCACTGCTATTTGGTATCCAGCCTCTAGTCTCCGAGATGACCTTTCCAGCCTCTCTGTGTTATCGAGCAGATGTGCCCTCTGAAAAAGAAAAAGGGAAAAAAAAAAATCAGACGGCTGTCTACAATGTTCTTTTTTTGCCTTAAAAAAATAATTCCTTCCTCTGCCCTAACATTTCTGGGCGGGGGGAGTCACCACCCATTATAAATAATTTTTAGCAAATCTTCTATTGTCAGAACCGCCACAATAGGCAGAATTCCAATCAATCGTGTACAGACTGTTCACTATTTTGTTTTAAAAGGCAGACTCGTGTTATATGTCGCCACGGTGACTCGTACTCCAGAACGCTGAGAGATGTGGGAAGACCAGAGTCCAGGGCTCTTTCCTCTTCAGCAGAGGTAGATGTATGAGACGCTTGCATAGACCCAGGATCCAAATTTTGTATGTCTTTTTGTAAAATACAATCATTTAAAAAAAACCCTCATCTGATTCTTTGGCAACTGTAGATAATGATTTTTAGTGAAGAACTTTAAGAGAATGCCCCTCAATTTTGGCTAGGCAGCAAGACACCATACAGTACAACATATGCTACTAGCACAGAATACTAAATAGCACTTGTAGTTTTAAGGCAACTTGGGCGATCTCCAAGAAACAAGAGACATGTGTTTCCCCATGCACACAGATGTAGGAAAATATGGATTTATTCCCAGATATGTGGTGAAATTTTGATATGTAGTGTTTTAGACTGTGAACTAAAATCATATTAACGATATACATTCTTTTATATTTGATAGGGAAATCAGAGAATATCCCCCAAATTCTCAGCTTCTAAACGTTTTCTACATTGAAGCTAGGTTTTTTAGCCATAATGATCATATACTAGGTCTATTCAGGTTGGAAAACATTTATAGGCTAATAAAGTAATCATGGCTGTGAACAGATAAGACATGTGTATGCACATGTGAGTGTGTGTGTGCACAATACATGGAAAGACAGGAAGGAATGTGTGTCTGTATATTTATGTGTATACATGCACATGTGTATACTTAAATAAATTAGTAACTTTTCTCCTCAAATCAGTTTTGGTATCCGGTCAAAAAGAAAGGAAAAATGCAACCACAACTCCTACAACTTTGTGTTGTTGACAGATGTCATTTAAAATCGAAGAAATGCTTTCTGATAATAATAAAAAAGGAGGTGCCACACATATAATCTGAGTGGCTGTCGAGCGAAACGATCTACCTTGCTCTAATGAGCCCCCATGGATCTCGGAGATGCAAGCTGTATTGACATGCACACTTAAGCTAATACACCTAGACCGGTGCCTCCAAGCTCTAGCAGCCAGGGATGCTGACAGAATATCTCGCTTCCATCTTCAAAGAAAGGAAGTGATTAGTATGTTATCATTACCATTCGAAACGTGATTTCCTTATTCCCTCCCGGCATAGGTGACACATCTGAGATGCGGCCAGACGTTGGAGGCAGCTAAAGCCACATCAAAGCTTTCCTTGAAAATTTTTTTGGGGGGAAGGGTTGGCATGGGGGGGGAGAGAATCATTAAAACAATGCATTTAGAAAAGAGAGATAGGACCTGATGTGAAGGTCAGGAAAGCTGCAACAACAGCCTATAATAATTAATAGAGTTGTCTAATATACGGTGGAGAAATTAAGAGAAAATCTGCCCCTCCCTTTAAAAAAAATCTAAATAAATAAAAGGGAGGAAGAAAGAAAAGCTTGTATCATGAAAACGCAAAATCACTGAAGGCTGTAATTGAGAAAAAGAAATTTGAGGGGAGCTCTTTATGTTTGGCATTAATAACTCTTTTAAATAAAATTAAACACTTTTTACTCGGCTTGTCAGAAATAGCTTTCTTACTCCTAATTCTCCCTACATGCAGGTTTTAGGAGGAGGGATTGCTCTTCTCTTCTCTGAATATTGTTTTCTAGCTTAACAAAGGACTTAATTTCCAATTGATGATTCCCTAAAAAGAGAGAAGATCTGTGAAATCAAGAGTAAATCTGAATTTTAATCCAGAATAATAGAACAAAGCATTTAGGTTCATTGTTGTATTGGATAAAATCCCTAAATTCAAAGAAAACATTTAGCTACTGCTGGAAAAAAAAAATCAAAGATCAATACTAGAAATGGACAGTATAATTAAATTATAATATATACTGTAGGACACAAAGCACATCAATGTAGAATGATTTGGGAGATTCCATCAAAGGGAATAAAATCAGATTATTCAGTGTATGGCTTTAATGGAGAACAAAATTTTAAAAAAGAGTTTTTTTTTTTAATTGCATATTCCTAAATAATGGAAGTAACTCTTCTTCAGGACAGTTCAATTTTATCAGAGTCAATCTGCACACAAGAGGACTATCAGTTTACCAGCAGCTTTCCAGCAGGACCTCACTTTGTATTTTGGAACCTCTTCACTTAAGTCAAGCTAAAATCAAGTTCTTGTAACAGCTGTGCTATTTACATTGTTCCCTTAGTTGTGCTTGGCCCTGGTCTCTGAAAATGAAAGGAAATACACTACAGTAGCAGCTGATGCTTTCAACTTGCCCCCACACTCCATCCCAAACTCATTCTCTCACCCTCTTCTCAGCCCTTTTCAAAGCAGGTAAGTGAAGCTGTGCAGAAGCTTCAGACAGAGCTCAACTTGTGTGCGGAGCTGTGCAATGTGGAGAGCTGGAGATGTAGGATTCAAACGGAGAGCTCAGCACAGCCAAGACCAGGGCAGCTCCCTGGCACTACCAGCCTGCTACTAAGGATGCCCTGTTTCCAAACCTGAGCCCGAAAAAGAGCTTTACAAGGGAGGGGTGGGGCCACACTTTGTTACAAACACAACATCTTATTTTAAAGTAGGTGAATGCCTGTCTTAGAAGAGGTACAAGGAAGAAATCTGGGGTTCGTTCAGTGTTTGATTATTATTAGACTTTGGGTGAGAAACAATCACTTCTGAGCAAAGCATATACCAATGTTCTTCTTTAGGGTAATCTATTCTATAAACATCAATATTACGTCCATATCAAAGTCTGTAAAAAGAATATTTCAGAGGTTATTATTCTATTAGTTGAATGCTCTAATACTTCCCAGTACATTCCCATTACAAGTTATAGTTTCAGAAATTTGCATTCTAGAGCCATACCTGACAAAACTATTGCTATAAGCATAACAAAAGAGTGGAGTCATAAAACGATGATAAAACACATGTTAAGAGAAATGCTGACACGATATTGCCAGTTTTTAGAATTAAGCTAAAGCTAGTGAATTCAGCTTAACAAAAAGAAATCTTCTGTCAAAAATGCTGATTATAGTAAGGAAGAAGATTTTATTAATTATAGTTACTGCTTGTTCAGAGACAAGAGCAAGACTTTCTCCATACAGAGATTTTCAATTAATATTTGAAAATTCAGATTCTTCACCTAAGAATGAACATGTACAAATACAAGCAGATAGTCTGTCTTGCAGAAAAACAACATTGATGTATCACCCACCTCAAGAATAATCTTATACATCAAAACTGCAATGACTATTTATTACATTTACACTAAGTGATTCATTTAGTGTATAGATACATATATAGGTATATGTATAAATATCTATTTCCATGTAGGGATGAAACCAAAGAAACACCAAAAGGTTGGAGAGTGAAGGTTTTGTGTATTTCCACCCTTCATTTTAAATATGATTGTTACTTTACTAAGAGACGACATCACTAATGCACCTTAAATCAGAAGAATTGTTGAAAATCACTATCTGTAAGCCTCTAACAGCATTTCCATCATTTAGAGGGTGATGACTTACCAATAAAAAAAACAACTAGGATAATTCCAATCAATGCAGTCAAGCTTAAGTCAAAAATAATCCACAGTACTCTATTAAAAACACTACCCACCTATCTATCTATACATATATATATATATAAACTACAGATATACAGATACACACACTATGTGAATATACGTAATTTTTATGCAATATAGGCCATTATTTTATACCCTAACATAAACTAAAACTCAGTGTCAATAAACAAGAAATAAAACTATATCTCTGAAGGGATTACCAAAGCATATGTGACATGTTTAGCCTAATTAAAAAAGAATACAGAATCACTCAACATCCCTCATTAATATGGAGACAAAATTATCAACATTACTGCAAATATTTACTGGCCCACAAAAATGTCTGGAGCTACACATACCAAATAGATTAGCAAACTCAGAAAAATGAGACTGGATTATATGCTATTTCCTACAAAAAAAAAGAAAGTATTTAAAAATGATCAGAGCTTTGGCTATTTTCATGCATCTATATAAACAAAAGACTACAGGGTATTTATAATGTATGTGTTTCCCCCAAAAGATAACAGATTCATAGTATCTTATGCTGAATCTAAGAATTTTGGGTGGGGAAAAGGAGTTTATTTAAAAACAGTTTTCAGTAAAGTAAATCGGAATGTCAGAAAAAATTCTAAATATATTTACTTCTTTGAGGAGCCAATACAAATAAAACAAATCTGAAGTTAGTTTACAGTAAAACTATACTTGTGTATAGTTTTAAGGCATTCTTTTATTTTTCTCTCCTGTTTTGGGCTTTTAAAATATGAATTTTCCCCTGATGCCATCAAACGCCAATGATCACTGTGATTAGAAAGATTAGGATATAAAGACAATCAGCAGAGAACATTTCTGAGCAATATATATACTATGTTTACTATGTATAGATTTTCCTGGAAAAATGAGTGTGAAGATACAGATTTAGAAATTCAATTTTATAGGAAGAAGCAGAATTTTAAAAAAAGCAAGCTAGGAAATACTCACCTCTTCACGTAATTTTATCAACTGCAACATGAATGCACAAAAAAAAAAAAAGATAAAAAGGAAAGAAATGGCAGGAAAGAAAGATCAGTTGTGTGACAGGATACAGAATTAACATTGACAATTTATCTGTTTACATGTTTAGCATTTAAAAATCACAGACAAACACATTAAAAGAACCTAAACATAGACTACATGCAGAGTTTTTTGAACGAATAAAGATCACTTTCTCACACTGTCACATTAAACAAAGA